CAAGTAATGGTGGCATAGTTAAGTTATTGTTCAAGAAAACCAGTTTTAATAATGTGTCTCTTACCATAAATATCGATGCGCCTGTTCAATTCAATGAGCCTGTTCAAGGAGAGTGAAAGCACATGCCCACTACCAAGCAGCAACAATCTCAAATTGTCATGTTTTTAGAGAACTTTCAGTGGTTCGAGAACTACACATGAATTCAACCTGTAAAGGTCATGATGTACAGGGCACACTGGTTCTCATCGATGCGCCTAGACCAGTGGTATGACCCGCCGCGGTGGTCTAGTGGCTTAGGTACTCGGCTGCTGACCCGCAGGTCGCGGGATCCAATCCCGGCGGCGGCGGTTGCATCTACTATGGAGGCGAAATGTGTAGGCCCGTGTGCTCAGAATTGGGTGCACGGTAAAAAACCCCAGGTGGCCGAAATTTCCGGAGCCCTCCTCTGATTGATTTGTTGGGTTTAACGTCCCAACCGGAGCCCTCCTCTACGGCGTCTCTCATAGTCATGTGGTGGTTTTGAGATGTCAAACACTACATATCGTTAGACCAGCGGTCTGTGAAAGGGATACAATCAAGGCGTTTAACAACTTCGGAGTGACCATGTTGAAGTAGAATGTCGTCGCAAACCTCAGCACGCATGAAGAAGACCGCATGAGCCAGAAACTCCGGACATTGCTCAATCAGTTCGAACATGTGTATGCGCCAGGTTTAGAACTATACAAAAATCTGCCCGTGAATCTTATTCTAAAAGAAAACGCCACACCCCATTTCTGCAAAGCATGAGTCGTGCCATACGTTTCATAACTAAGGTGTCCGATGCTTCGCACCACCCCGCCGCGGTGTTCTAGTGGCTAAAGTACTCGGATGCTCACGCGCAGCTCACGGGATCAAATCTCGGCTGCACCAGCTGCATTTTCATTGGAGGCCAAAATGCTGTATGCCTGTATACTGAGATATGCGTGCATGTTAAACCCCCTAGCTGGTCGAAATCCCCCGAGTCTTCTACTTCGGCGTCTCTCATATTCATAATGACCGTTTTGGGTCCTTGAACCCTTCATATCAAATCAACCAATCAAGTCAATCATGATTTGCACCTAGTAGTTGCCGACGGCCTTTATCATTTGCATGACAGCGGAATAGATGACACCAGTGGTACCGATTGTTAAGACTGATGAGTGCATTCGACTATGTAGGGAGTTTCGAACTGACCATGAACATGGCCACAGTGACTGAACAGTATCCACTACTTTGTGTGGATGACATCTCCGCAAGACTAAATGGCGGTGAAGAATTTAGTAAATTGGACTTGACTTGAGTGTTCAACCAGCTGCTGCTGGACGACGAGGCGAAGAAGCTGACAGGCGTAAAAACTGGCATGCGTATAATTTGTTTCAGTAAGCTTCCGTTTCGAATTATCTCAGCTCCAGCCATCTTTCAGAGGCATATTGATGCCCTGTTGAAAGATCTTTCAGGCGTACAAGCCTATCTGGATGAGATCATAGTGGCTGAAAGGCGCAATGAGACTTCTTTGCTAAATCACATCTGGCTGCGCTTACGTGACTATAGTCTCAGGCTAAACACCAATATATGCTAATCTAGGCAAGAAGCAGCCTTTCTTTGGACATCGGATACCAATGCACTCAAGACAACGACATTGAAGTAGTTCTTCAAGAACCAAGAAGTAGTTCTCCAAGAACCAGTCTCAAAGTCGGTGAGCGCACTAAAATTTTTCTTGGGCCTAATCAACTATATTATTCCAAGCTTTTACCGAACCTGTCCATAGAGCTACCGGCATTATACAGTCTACTTAGGAAGCTACGTAAAAATTGAAATAGGTACACGAGCAAGTGGTTCGAAGAATTAAGCAGGCCATACCTGCGCGAAAGCTTGTGAAACACTTCTAACCTAACAAACTTTCAAGTTGGATTGTGAGGTTCCACATATTGTGTAGGAGTGGGGGCAGCGCTTTCCTATCGCATCAATGACACGGATTGCCTGATTGGATTTTTCTCCAGAAGTCTTTACAAAGCGCAAAGAGCCTACTCCCACTAGAAAAAGAAGCATTTGTCCTTGTATTTAGCGTCACGCTGCTTAAGGGCTATTTATAGGAAAATCACTTTGTTGTGGTGACCGACCATAAGCCCCAACTTATTTGTTTAACCCAGAGAACGCCATTCCTCCCATGGCAGTGGCAAGGATTCAGGAGTAGCCTCATTTCTCGTACAATAGCAATTACAAATTTCAGATCCGCAGTAGAACAAAAAACTCAAATGATGGTGCAATAGGTCGCCTGCCATTACCGAACAACCTACACGACACCGGCACAAAGAATCCTCCATGGTACGGCCTGTACTCGGAGGACATACAAAAGAAAGCGACTAGTGTTAGAGATGTAGTACATTTTACAGAAACGGATCCTTTGTTTCAGCAAGTAAAATTTTGTATTAAGTAGGGCTGCCAGAATTTTTGTGTGAAGAGCAGAGCCGCTTCTGGCCGTACATCAGAGAGAAGGCTGAGCTCAATTACTACCAAGGCTTCGTCTACCGGTGACACCACGTCGTGCTTCCCACGGCTCTAAGCCGGTGAATATTGGACGTGCTTCATGAAGCGCACCCAGACATGGCGACCATAAAGAACATTGGAAGATCCGCGTTTTGCTTTTCGGGTACAAAGGTGAGATTGAGTGATTGGTGCGTGAATAATCCGCTTGTGTACTGGCTGCGGCGATGCCTCGAGTCCAAACCCCTGCAGCATAACTCACGACGGAAGAGAAACGAAGCAGGCGCCTCGCCTAACATGCAGGTCCAATTGAAGGACAGATGATATTGGTACTTGTGGATTCAGAAACAAAATAGATAGAACAAGTTTCATTGAAATCGGCAACAGCAGAAGTGGCAGCGTAGGCTCTCAGGGCTATGTATGCGATGTTTGGTCTACCTTGTATTCTTGTGACGGATAATAAACCTCGGTTCAGCGGTTTCCGCTTCCACAATTTCCTAGCTACACACCAAGCAAAAGACTTGACTACAGGCCCTATCATCCTTAACCAAACAATTTAGCGGAGTTAGTAATGAGAGCGTTGAAAGAAGAGTTGAAGGAAAAAACAAAGACATTCCCCTACAGACTCGAATATCAAACTTCTGTTCCGTTACCATGGCACGCCAGTGAAGAAGGTCAAGTCTTCAGTGGAGCTTTTGACGGGTATCAAATACGAAGAAAACTCGGCTGCATTGCGCCGACTACCAAGGCTGTAAGAACAAAGCAGTCAAACGATCGAGAAAATTGATGGCTGGTTGAACAGCGTGTTTGGACTCGAGCCTTGAGGCTGTGGAAAACGTGGATACCAGGTATCGTGCGCGACAAGCTGGAAAAGCGCATGATCGCAGTGGACACAACGCAATGAAATGAACGATGGAACGCTTAAGTTGACGGATCGTGCCACACCGACACGCTATCAGCCCTTTGAAAACTTCCGAGTGAAAGCGCAAGAGTTTCACCGATCGACGTATGTAACTGCGCGGTAGTAAACACGGACGACAAGAAGATACAAGGACAAGCGCAGCTGCGCTTGTCCTTGTATCTTCTTGTCGTCCGTGTTTACTACCGCGCAGTTACATACGTCGATCATGAATCACCAACTCGCCCAATCGTCCACCTTGATTAGTTTCACCGACTCCGGCAACTTAACCATTGCAGGTTTCAACGATACAGCGTCTTGCTCCAGATCATTTGAACTTTTAAGAAGGAAAAAGACTGTTGCATCGTAGACTACAGTCATCATTGACAGCAAGAAGCACGGCTCGCCTGGATCGTGATGGTCGTGCAACGAATGACCCCGGCTTGCTTGATTTCATGCTGAGTTGGAGTAAAGGACGTGTCATGAAACTAATGCTACATGATTGACTAATGCTACATGACTAACGGAACGTGACTAATGTTACTTGATTTTGGCGAGAGCGTGTCACGTGATTAGCGTAGCGCTGCGGTGTGACTTGGAAACTCTTAGTGGAGAGCTCTTCGCAGGACTGTACATCCGCATGACAGATAACTCGTAACTTGTTAATGCTTTCACGTGAGCTAGTTCTTATAAAGTGAACGCATTCATATAATTAGCAAATCCATGCAAAGATTAAACGCAGAGAAACACAGGACGATGATGGCTTTCCTGTTTGGGCAACTCCTAAGCAACATCAGGAGCGTTGGGGGATTTTGTCCAGATGTAAACGCAGGCGAACTGTGCAAGCATTCATTTGGTTTGAATTTCAGTTTTTTTTCATTCAAATTACAAAGTTCACATCTAAAAGTATGCAGACGAGGGTCCCAAAGTCTGGCGACTACAGTGAGGCCCTCGGTTAACAATAACATTAAAAAGATTAAATATAACAGCATCTAATATTACACAACGTAAGTGGAAGCGAATATTAGAAGTACCAAAAATTACAACAAATACGTTAAAAAATGCTATTTAAGCGATATGAGTATATGATAAACAAGTTATACAAGTGGACTAAGCAAACCATATAGAAAACCTCGGTCTGAAATTTCTCATTCCTTACACTTTTTCAATATAAAGTAGTATATATAGTACAAAAAAACGCCGCACATTCGAATAGGCACGCAATCGGCTGAGAGTCTGCTTACAAGGCTTCAGAAGGGAATAATTTTATGACTTGGACGTTGACGCACACGTATGCTGGTAAAAACTGCTCATTAAAGTAGGATTTTATTGTTGCTGCACTATGTGCCCTTCACAATTTGCTTACCGACACCCCAGTTCACGCACTAAGATCCCGTAAGCAAGTTAGGCTGGACAGCAATTGCGCAGGTGGTGTAAATATGATGATTGGTTCCAAAGCGCCGTTTCAGGCGGGAGCAAGGATGATGTGTCAGGTTTCATGGTCACGCGATGGCAATCATGCTGCACGCATTCACCAGACTCTCGCCATATACCAGTTTTACACGGCTTTGGAAGTATCATTAGAATCACTTACCACATTCACGTTCTTCCACACATGATCCATCATCAGCTCTGAATTTTGTTTTACATGCGCATCCTAATGAACTTCCACCAATACACGTCCAGCGATGTAGGTCTTTGACATTCTTGCAATACTTCTGGCTTAAGAGCTGTTTACCCCAGCAAAATCTTGGCTCTTGATTTTGCGAGTCTGCACAAGCTGGGTAAGAAATAAGCAGTGCGTTTCATGAATGCTCATTGCGGGCGACTTCCATCAGAAATAAAATAAAGTTTGACCTTTTCCGAATACCAGCGCGAGTTTACTTCAACTTCATAATCCAAAATGTTCCAAGTAAAAAAAAAATTAGGCACACCCCACGCCCTGTCATTCAGCAAGCAACTGTTTAATTTTCATTGGTTACATTGAGAATAAATTTCACAAAAAAGATTTATGTCTTTATAAGGAACAGGAAGTGATGCAGAGACCGGGATCTTCCTTGGCGCACCAGTTGAAGGAGACACCAGAATTAAATTTGATAAGTGTGCGCCCACTGGTTTCACTCAGAAAAACTAACTACGATGCGCCGTCTACATTGGCCAAAAGACGTGGTCACAATCATGTAGAGTAAAGAAACACAAAATTTTAAAATCCCGATTTAGTGCGAAAAATATAGAGGGGCCATTCTTTAGTTATATATGTCGGTCAGTCGCAGTGAAAAACAGCAGCAGACCACATTGTCTAATAAATCGCAATATTGGCGATCGCAAGGATTAGGAACACTCTTTCTGTTACCGAAGAGTTCTAAAGGTAGCCAGTACCGTGTTAACACTACAAAATATAGTCACCGAAAAACAGCAGGCAGATAGCAGCAACCCTAATTAGCCAAAAATTATCAAGCATTAGGCAGAACTGCCCTACCTTTCAGCAACAACAACCAGGGAAATAAGTATCACCCCACACAAAGCGATGTTGATTGCGTGGCATAATAGTCCTGTCCCAGCCACCACTATGCCCCGCTAACCAGCACCTAATAAGCATAAGTTTCCGCTAGTCAACATGCAGCTAACAAAGGACACAGATACACTATTCTAAACCTTGCCTAAGTGACTTTTAGGGGTGAAGCTAATTAGAGTGTGGGTCGTTCCCTCCTCTCTGGTAGTAGTAGTAGTTGTAGTAGTAGTAGTAGTAGTAGTAGTAGTAGTAGTAGTAGTAGTAGTAGTAGTAGTAGTAGTCTACATGCAATACTTGACCACACTCTGGAAACTACACCTCAGTGACCAATGGCCCTGTGGAAGGCAAGTGTGATATATAAAGCTCACATTTGTGAAGTATCTAGAATTTTAGAGTATGACGTGGTAGATAGTATGCCCGGCATGTGTTGTGCGAGGGGTGGTGGGTTTCGCTGTCGTTGACGGATTTTTTTTTTGCTCTTTGGCACCTGACCATCAAGACTTTCTTTAGCCCCATCTCACTGAAGGGAATAAAAGAAAATGTTCGGTTCTTACAATACAATAAAGTTATTTATTGTGCAATGCATTTCTTTTTATATGCAAAAGAAACATTCAGGCCTTTATTATACACAAGTTAATTTTTTGCGAAAATTTTCCTTACCTTCAGTCATAGCAATAACTGTGCATGTTGTAAGAAAGATGCTTATCAGAAGATTCATTATAAAATAACACAGTTGATTGCCTGTAATATTAAGAGAAAGTGAAATAAACTGGAATAGAAGCCATATCTTTGACAACAGAATTTTAGTAAAAATGAGGCCGGCCATTTTTCAATATAGTATTCTCGATTCAAAGAAGCTACAGCTTTCTCAACACTTGGTAAAAAATAGAGGATTCAGCGTTTATTACAAGCACGCTATATTCAACTGACGGAAGAAAGCGACAGTAAACCACTTTGGTTGTAAACCAAAGAGCCGTAAGAATACCCTGTCATCAAGCACTAAAGCCTAGTTAGGCAGTCCTGTATTTTGTCATGAGTTATACGGTATTAGTCTGAGTTACTTTTATTATTATTTCATTTTTAGTGTTGCTTGCGTTGTGGTGCAACTTGTAGCAAATGGATCTACGAAACCACCTCCATCTTACCGGCCTAGTGCTGCAGCACAGCAGGCTAGTAGTTAAGGAAGACAAAAATGATTATTCAACAGACATCTCAGAGCAGCGAATTCACAACTCAAAAGCACCATTCACGTGTTTTTTTTTGTGCATTTCGTGGACTTTGTGCGCAGCTTGAAAAAAAGCGAATCACGTGACACTTTTTTTAACGCAAACATACCGATGGGTATACCAGAAGATGTTTTCGAACTCTGCAAGTCTAACTTCTTGCCTGAAGTCATTATTTTGTAGTAGAGTGAAAAAAAAATGGCTGATCCCACGTACAGTGGGAATCGACGATATACGAAGCACGAATGAGAAAGGTTGATATGCCACTTTAAAATCACCACAACATCGCGAGGTAGAGGTAAATAATGGCCTACATGGCTTTCGTGGCATGATTATCATGTTTAAATGTGTCGCTTACCTTCGTCGTCTATTCACGTCACGTGATACCAAATTTTGTATATGTGGAGCTAGCGAAACGGCCGCGAGCATGCTATGAGCGCAGTATGTTGTCGTGTTTTTACATGGAACGCGTGTCAGGATTATCAAGTTTGCACGCGTCATATACTTTCGTCATCCATTGAAGTCACGTAACACCAAACTTGGTATATGGGGAGCTAGCAAAACGGCCGCGAGCGCATCTTGAAGCGTCCAACATACTGCAAAGTAGCTTTGACGTGCGCACGGGGGGTACAGTGACGCTACGTCAGCAAAACGCAAGCACCATAGTCTAATGTCAGGCTGACTTTAAGGGAGACGCTCTAGGTGCCGACCAGTGCGGACGCGCGAAGATCGGCTCCTGCTTTCAAGAATGCTTTCCTGTGGTTTTCACGAATTCGTCGCCGAGTTTTCAGTCCCATTCCCTATCGGAAAAAAAACGAATGGTGGGCATGGTGGAAACCACCACCCACCATTATAGTGGATTAATGTAGTGGGTGAATGGTGGGAAACGCCCACCATGGCGCATGGTGGGTATGGTGGGTGCTGCAGTGCCGGCAAAACTTGAGCGCGAAATGACGTCAGAATCACCGTGACGAGCTGCCACAAAAAATGAAAAAGAATTCTATAAAAACGATATAAAAAAAACACCCGTCCCGTAAAAAAAAAAACAAGGTGCCACGGAGGATCGAACGTGCAACCTGCGGATTTTCATTCGAAGACGCTAACCACTGCGCCACACCAATTTTTTTTTTCTTTCTTTATTGCCTGTTTACATACAACATTCACAAACATATATACATCAAACAAAGTAGAAACATGAAACAAAAAAAAAGAGGTAAAAAGCATCATATTTAACAGGCTTTTTAAAATTCCTTCATCTGTAGAAGGCTTTCTACTTGATGAAGCCATTCGGGCACCTCTTGTTGAACCTTTTGTGCTTCCACGAACGAACAGACAGATTGAAAGAAATATTGCCTGACCGGACGTGCGTTAACATCAGCATGGCGCACCGCCATTCTAGATTGCCATATACCGTGCAGGCCCAGTAACATAACTAGGTCGAAAGGTATTCCTTCTTCATTTGATACTGGTAGAAATCTGATGCCATAGGCATCGAGAGGCAGATCCTTTTTCAAAGTCCTTTGGAGAACATCCCAGAAAAATACTGCATCCCAGCAGTCCAGGAAAACATGTTCAATTGTTTCCGGCTTTTTGCAGAGAAGGCAATCAACACCCCAAGGAACGAATAAGCCTTTTTCTTGCATCCATGTTTTCACGGGCAAGGTCCCAGTGTGCAACTTAAAGAAAAAGGATTTCGCTCCAGGTGTTACCTCCATTTTTTTAACACGGCTTAAGACATTTTGGCCTGGGCCTACACGGTATAATGCTCTATATAGGGGAACAGGAAGAACTGTTTCTACTAAATCTTGTATAACTTTTTACGCGAAACCGTACTGAGGTATTCCAATGAAAAACGCGTTTTTAGAAAGAGACATGAATCAACAACTTCTTTTAAGAAACCTCTAACACTTGCTTTCATGTGAACAGATGCTACCACAAATTCTGGCAACCGTCTTCCAAGCCTAAGCTGTATAACAGTACGTATGAATGGGTCTCGATTATTTCGGAAAAACATAAACCGATTAACTAACTGACGAAGGTACAAATGACACAGACCAAGTCCTCCAGAGCGAACCCGTCTGAATAAGTTAGTTCTGCTTGTTCGCTCCCAAGAAGAACGCCACAAGAAAACAGCAAATATTCGATGAAGCTTCTGTAGATTCACACGTGAACAATGCATTACCTGAAGGACATACCAGAGCTACTGACTAAAAATGTCTTATATTTTTTATCGCTCGCGCATTAGTTTTGCCCATGTCTGTTCTCGTCGTCCTTCGCGAGTAGACACTAAGTGTCAACCACCTGTGGTCCATACACACTTATCAGTGGCAAATACTCGCCCATGTGTGTGTGCCACTGTCTGGCGGGAAGTGTTTGACGACGTACATGTCGGCAGTGTGCCATTATTCATGTTTAGATCAGTGCGTTATATTCGTCAAACCATCTTACACTCCAATGCAAATTTCGGTTCACGTCAAGTTAAGAGGGTGACCACGAGAGTACCCAAACGTAAGCGGCTAGTTAGCTAAATAGATAGATTGATATACTGTCAGATAGATAGATAGATAGATAGATAGATAGATAGATAGTTAGATAGATAGATAGATAGATAGATAGATAGATAGGTAGATAGATAGATAGATAGATAGATAGATAGATAGATACTGTCAAAGTTGCCAAATTTGGCTATGAAAATCTTCGCAAGAGTGGAAGCTTGAGCTCGTTGGTGTGTAGCCATATTTGCAAGATTGTTTCTGTGCGCGAACACACAAAAAAGGACAGGGTAGACAGAAAGAGCGCTGACTTCCAACTAACTTTATTTCAGAGAGTGGCAAGAATATATACGTCTAAAAGGAATGATTACAGAGCATGAAGGTAAAAAGCAAGCCTAATCTACACACCAGTAACAAAGCTCGTGTGACGGGTCCTCTATTGCTTCAAAGCCCAGCCAGGTAGTCACGTGCAGCCTGTGATAAAACAACCGAAGAAGTGCTTACGCACTTATCTCCTAGCACGTGTATTTTTTCGGCTTCGATACTTTCTCGTGTAAGCTGGTCCCTGTGCCTTGCCAATATAGAGCACTGATCAAAAAGGGGGGTGCACCCACAATCTCGGCAATGAATGCCACGATGCCCTTGTACCACACTGTGCACATTGTTTCTGTGTTACCGTTGTCTACCCTGTCCTTTTTTCTGTGTTCGCGTGCTGAAACAATCTTACAAATAGGAAAATCTTCGTATTCAAAAGTTTCATTTGCACATAATTTACTTTACTATAAACTTCGCACTCAAGGTAAAATTTACGTACCTGGTTTTCTAGGGCCTCCACAGTTTTTTCGAAATATCAAGAAAGCACTCTGGAGCCTGTTATTTTCATACGCAGCTTAATTTTGCAGTGAGGAAGTATTTTATATAGATTAGTGTGAAGACGTCACTAATTAGGCGAAATACCGCGCATTACATCGTAACTCCAGCCCTTAGGTCAGGAATATGCGTGAACATCTTAATGACACCTTTCAAAATTGAGTTGAGATTTATGACCTTTTCAGATTGGTACTCAATAACAAGCATTCTGAAGGAGCCATTTTTGTTAGAGCCACAAACAAAGCTATATTGCTGTGTTGCTTTTTAAAATAGGACATAGCTGAGAGAACTTCTTTGTTTTAAAATAAAACAGCCAGTTTAACGAACGTAAGAACAGACCATTATTGAAGAGGAGCCACCAGTCTTTTAACAGGATGATTTTATTAGCGCATTTTGAAACGCACCGCATGAGTTCGAAGAAATACTGACTGAGCACAGCTGAAACGGAAGTTTCCGGCGAAAATTACGGTTCTCTCACCGTGGTAGAGCAGTGGTTATGATGCTTGGCTGCTGACCCGGTGATAGGGGGTTCAAATTCGGGCACAGCGGTCACAATTGGATGAAGCCAAATCAGTAGAGGCCCGTGTAGTGTTATGTCGGCGCACGTTAAAGAAAACCGGATGGTCAAAATTTTCGGATCTTTCACTACGGCATCTCTCGTGATTATATGGTGCTTTTGGGAAGTAAAAGACACGATATTGTTATACCGGTGTCACACAGGCTCTTTTAATTATGATCAGTGGGATCTGGATCAGTTTTCTTGATCGTGATCAACTTCATGACCACTTCTACATGGACCAAGCTAATCTGGTTTCAGCTTGGCTCAAATGAAATGCTCTAGGTGGCATTTTCGTTCCGTAAAACATGCCACTGACAAAACTTGGCATACGATATATCTATAGAGCCCTATGTCAGCAATGCTATTCGTGCAAAAACCGATCCAATGTCAAAAACTGAGTGCCATTACAATAGTAATTTTATAAATCTATCATTAGATAAAATTTTCACAACACTTAACTGTATTGGTGATTGAGATTGTTAACCTTCGCTTTTATTTCTGATGGTCCCACTTGTAGCTGTGTAGTCGCAGCGAAGCGTCAATCTCGTTGTACGCGCCAGTTTTTCACTTCTGGCGCCTCAAGTATGTTCCAGTCACTCCTGCCCAGGGTCAATGACTGTAAAGGTCTCTTCATTCCACCATGAAAGGCGCATACGTTGTAACGTACTCGAAAGGCTTGCGACATTCTTAATAAGTTTGCTTCTAGGTGCTCCAACAGCTCCGACAGAGCGAGAGCTGAACTAAGCGCTTGAAGGCAACGGTCAACTGCTTGTCGTTGGCTTCTCCCGTAAATACAAGTGGTCGATTGATTGATTTGTGGGGTTTAACGTCCCAAAAGAACCATATGATTATGAGAGACGCCGTAGTGGAGGGCTCCGGAAATTTCGACCACCTGGGGTTCTTCAACGTGCACCCAAATCTGAGCACACGGGCCTACAACATTTCCGCCTCCATCGGAAATGCAGCAGCCGCAGCCGGGATTCGAACCCGCGACCTGCGGGTCAGCAGCCGAGTACCTTAGCCACTAGACCACTGCGGCGGGGCACAAGTGGTCAATGCGAATCCTAAAATATGCAGTACTTCAGATATTGTTACAATTTACACGGTTTATAATTTGCTTTTTATAAGTTTTTAGCTGTTTTAAAGTGTCTTTATTGAACTATGCTCGATTTTTCTGTTTATTGTGCTTTCAACAAACTCGGCTAGGAGATGCAGAAGACAGCGAAATCGCGACGTCACAGGCAGATTACGATGCTCATGTCGCGATAGTCTTGATCCCGACCACACCTGATTGTGATTGAGAGTGACCGTGTAGCAGCGCCTAATCTGTATCGTGGTTAATCTGGATCGACACTGATCGCGAATAAAAGGGCCCGTGTGACACCGGTATTATTATGCTGTTAGGTTGCCTCTGACCGGTAGTGCAGCTTCATACTGGTACTTGTGCTTCAAAAATACGAGCACCTATTTCACACTAACAACACGTTGGCACATTCACCTCTCGTTCAAGATTTCAAGGCTTTTATAATAAAATAAAAAAGGGAGAGTATTCATTTGTATTGAAAGCGTACATTTATGGTAGCCGAATTTAAACAGTTGCAATTTTTTGTAAAAAAAAAAACTACTTCCGTAACCTTGTTTATCTCATTTAAATATTAACACTGCATTTCAGAGATAAAATAGCAGGGGCCAACCGAAGCCATTAGTGAAAAAGGTATAAGAAGTAATAGAACCTCTCCTAATAAGCATTACTACGGAAATATAAAAAAAGACTACCAAATACATTTAATCATCAATTTGCAGAAAAATTGCGGCAATAAAAAACAGTTTGATGCATGTAACGGGAGCGCGTGTTTTCGTAATGTAGTGTATCAGCAATGTAGATTACACGGCACGACCGATGTATTTATAAATTCAGGAATGCCACATTCTGGAAAAAGTATATTGGAACGAGTGCATCTTTTGCCTACTTATTTGTTAAAAAAAGTGCTCATAAATACAATGTGCTGATATGTAAAATAACCAGACTTGTTTAAATGAAATCAGCTTTGGCTAACCTTTTGCAAAAATGTTGACAAGGCCTATATGTCAAGTGGTTTTAATTATTGCTAGATTTAGGCTGATTGTGCAAGCAACTTGGCTTAAAGGAAATTATGAATTCACTAACTTTTTCATGGAGACTATAAGAAGGTCTATATGTGAAGTGCCCCGCCGCGGTGGTCTAGTGGCTAAGGTACTCGGCTGCTGACCCGCAGGTCGCGGGTTCAAATCCCGGCTGCGGCGGCTGCATTTCCGATGGAGGCGGGAATGTTGTAGGCCCGTGTGCTCAGATTTGGGTGCACGTTAAAGAACCCCAGGTGGTCGAAATTTCCGGAGCCCTCCACTACGGCGTCTCTCATAATCATATGGTGGTTTTGGGACGTTAAACCCCACAAATCAATCAATCTATATGTGAAGTGGTGCAGTCATTGACTGACGTCATACAACAACATTCCAGCTGCTCATAGCCTCCAAGAATGCCTTGAGATTGGGCCTCATCAAGTATGAGGTCCATGGGACGGCAATATGCTCTCCCATAGTAGAGTGCTAAGTACTCTAAATCGTTAACCACTTTTTTCTAAACACAACTCATTAGAAACTCAGTATGAAGGCATTGAGAAAATGCAATACTTCTTGCAGGGACCCGCTACTGTGGTCTAGTTGAGAGACTTCACTGGTGGCCCGCAGGTCGTGGGATGAAATTCCTGTTACGGCAGCCGCATTTCTGGTGGAAGAGAAAATGCTTGAGCCCCGTGTGCCCAGGTTTAGGTACTCAAAAATACCCAAAAAATCTATGCTCTTCAAAATGACGCTTCTTGTGAAGAATTACATCTATACATTCATTTTTCTCTTGGAAAGGTAGCCAACAGTTCTGTCAGTACGAACGCAGAGATATGTTCTTTCCAATAAAAATTTCGCAAGTCACTAGATGTTTTTGCGCTATTACTTCACTGCAGCTTGCATCCGAAACGAATTCACTGATTATTGGCCCCATTCAACCTTTCATCACAGGTAAATGAACCGATCGATGTATGGTGCATTTTTGTAAAATTATGCAATCACAACCGTAAAATTTTTTCTCCTGTTTCTTACGTCACAATAGTTTCATCTTTTTCTTGGAGATCTGTACCACAGGAGACTTGAGGGTCACCACTCTAACTCCAGCCTCCGTTCTCAGTGAGGGGTCCAATTCATCCGTGCCTTGCAGCCTCATGAAACATTAGCCTTTCTATATACTGCACCACACTGTGCCCAAGTAGGTAGGAAAATTAGCGTACCTTCATAACCAAATGTGGAGACTTCCCTGAAGGCGCACTTCATTTTCTATAACTGGAAGCTCAATCCAGTGTGCGGCGTGACCAGTCTTACTACGCCTCAGCCCCCTCACTTTCTCTTTTCTCTTTAGCTCACTCCACTGTCTCTCCACTCTAGACATCCCTCCCGGTGGTGATGATGTCCAATTTGTACATCCACGTCCCCTGCGCTTCTCTCTCTTCTCCTACCCTTACCCTATTTCACCTTGTAACGCCCACGCAGGCAGCTCGTGCTAGCGAGTTTCTTGATTAAAAAAAAAAACTACAGCGCGTGCTACACAACCGTTCACTTGCCACTCCACTGGCACTGTATTTTGACCTCCAAGGTAGTGCCGGTGGAATAATTCTCCTGGGCCTTAATTAACATTAAAAGTTCGCAGCGTGTACGTTCAGTATAAAAAAGAGCAACATATCCAAGGAATGCATGATGATGAGTGAGGCGAAGCATCCGTCAGTCCGTCCGCGCTTTCGTCTATCCGTACGTTCTTGTTTACATCGGTCCGTCCACCCGTCCATGGGTCCGTTCGCCTGTTCACGCTTCTGTCCCTCCATTTGTTCATGCTTCCTTCCCCCCGTTCTTTGTGCATCCGTCCACCCGTTCGTGCATCTCTCTCTCCATTCATGCGGCCATCCATTCGTCTATTCGTCCATCTATCTGCCTATCTGTGCACCTCTATGTCTGTCCATCTATCCGTTCATGTGTCCGTCCATCAAGTGAACCCTCCAAGTACCACTATCCCACAACGTTTCATTATATATTCATCATGTAGAAGTACCGCCATCAATAGGACATTCCGAAGACTAAACGACAGGGAGCATGGCCGGACTAGACGAGCGGCAGCGCGCACATTCCTACGGTCTGCGCTTCGTGTCTAGTTTCCACTCTTCACCGCCTGTAGTTCATGGCACTGCGGCCCAACCCATGCAGTTTAGAAAAAAAAGTATTGCCACAAACGCCAATAACACTCAACAGAACATTTCCTTCTTAGACATACTCTAACGATGATGACACAACAGACGTCATTTGCATGAACATCAATATGAGATGACGTTGAAACAACATCTACATTCGATGGTTCACACAAACACAA